TATTATTATGTTTTACACAGATGCACTCCGCTACAAAATACTCCCAATCAATCTAAAATGATAAATTGTTTACAAATAGTGTCATTTGTCATCTTCTGATTTTATATTCACATCACAGCAGATATTGCAGAAAAACTAAATATCACCATGTCTGTTGTTTGTAATACTGTGCAGCCCTCATCTCTAGATGTTTCCTATGTAGGGACAAACACAAATCTGGTTGAGGGCAGTTTGACAAAGTAAATATAGCAAACTGTATTACATTAAAGTCACCATTGGTAATTTCCTAATTTATTAATTACAATTTTAAAACAAATAGAACACATTAATTTAATTAACTAATGCCCTGTACCTTTTTACATTTTAGAAAGAACTAGAAAAAATAAAAACATAAGCAAGGAAATTCACTGCTGAATACACCAGTCAAGCTGCATTTGCCTTTGCATTGATTTTCCTGCCAATGTTTTCTACCATGTCCACCAGGGGCGCTGCTTACAATTTTGGGCCTAATGAAAGTAAGTTTTTGACATTGGACCCCTGCTAGAACTGTTAATACCAGCTGATTCTTGGGGCCAGGTGTGCCTCTGGCTGGTTCAGACCTATGACATCATTTTTTGGGTGTGGTGGTTGGACCCCCTTATATTAACTCTGGGGGCCCCAAAAGTGAGTGGGCCCTTTGAATCATTTTAAAGGACACCTAGGTTACCCCTTTTTTTCAGATTTAATTTAAGTCTTTTGCGTCTCAAGAATGTGTATATAAAGTTTCAGCTCAAAACACCCATCAGATTTTTCATTATACCTTTTACAAGATGCTGTTTTATACTGATTTCCAGCAGGGGGTGATTTTGTCGTACTGCGCCTTTAAGACGAGTCTTTCCCGCCTACTGTTTCTACGTGCCTTCCCGCGTGCTCTAATCTCCTCCCTCGGCTGCGTCAGACAACAGACAGACTTAAAGGAAGAAGGTCTCACGTAGCGTTTGTGAGAAATACTACAGTAAGAACTAATCTTTACTAATCAGTATTGTGAAGTTGCATTGATGAGTCACACACAATATCATTACAAAGTTCACGCGCGCACACACAGAGATACACACGCACACCACATCTGACACACACACACACAGGCAGGCAGACAGGCAGAGCGCGCTTAGCTTAGCACTGTTTTTGCACTCAAATGTGAAAGGATACAGGCTAACCTCCAGTGCTGTGTGGATATCTGTTATGCTAATGTACAAAATAAACCCGATTTAACGTCCACAAACCGGGATTGAAGCGTCTTCTTTTATAATTGTTCTGACACGCGGCTGTGCTGATGAAGTAAAGCTGAAGTAAATCGCTGTAATTAAATACACACAAACTCTGTTTTAAAACACTTTAAACATGTGAAACTCACTCTTAATCACATTTGATGATGATTGCTGATCCTAGTGAACAGAACAGATCTTTTATTCCCGGTTGCTTTGCGTATGTCTGCCTGGTCTTGTTGACATATACACGCGACTACCGGAACATGTTAATGCGCGCAGCCGTCAATCAACTCCTACGTAAAGTTGCAGTCGGTCTGAAAACCGCTCTAATTGGTCCACCGTTTTAATGTTGTTAAATTAAAAAAAGGACTGGGTGTGTTTATATCACCCCAATATGATGGTCTATAGACTATATATACACATATGTCTGTCCAAATAGCTTGAAAAGGAGATTTTTCACCATAGGTGCCCTTTAACTCAGGGGTTTTCAAAGTCTAAGACAGTGGGCCTCCCTTTTGACACAACTTATCCATTGGTGCCCCCCTCCTCCCAAACACGCACACACACACACACACACATACACACACACACATATATATATATATATATATATATATATATATATATATATATATATATATATATATATATATATATATATATATATATATAGTATATATAAAGACACAGACAGATGTCAGACTGTTAACTCACTTTTATCATCATTTGCATGAAAGTGCAATTATTTACAGAGTAATAACAAGTATTTTAATATAACGTTTTTTAAACTAGGATGATGGTTAATATGAATTGAACAGATGCAAGAACTGTTCATCCCAGTCAAAACAGTCGAAGTTTAGCGGGTCTCATGCTGTCATTAGCCAAAATATCTTGACAAACCACACTTAAAGGTCGTGGTTCATCAGCTGGTCCTGTCCACGTAAATCCTAAACTCAAATACTGATCGTCATATCGTCGTCTTTTGGGTTTAAGCCCTGAACTTGAAGCCTTTGAATCGGGGGGTCTTAGAAACCGATCCATTGCAGGCACGTGCACACATAGGGCTCAACCTGTGCAGTGCACATGCCCTTTTTAGTCCTGGATAGAAAGTTCCCTTCCAAAATGATCAAAAGTGATCCCGCGACGCGGCACACCCTCGGTCCCGCCCTTCAGTAGGCGCGCGACAACACCGCTCTTGAGCATGCGCGCGACAACACAGCTGATCAAAACGCGCGCGACAGGCAGGCTTGCCAAACAGAAGCGAATTCACAGCTATGGCCTTCTGGGTAAAAGAGGTTTTCTTATTTTTGACGTATTATTTTTTTTAAGCTTTGTTTAATTAAAACATTTAAATATAATAAAAAATACATTTAATAATTAAACTTAATAATTATATTTTTATTATATATTTTTCCCGCGCCTCCCCTGACATGCTCTGGCGCCCCCCAGGGGAGGCGCGCCTCACACTTTGAAAACCCCTGCTTTAACTCAATTCCAACACTCAAGAATCTGCACACAAGGGGGAGAGTTATTACAAGCTAACAGACTCCTTCTCCTCACCATTTCTGTGTGTTGTCAAAACTGACAGTTGGAGGGCCGTGGTTAAGTATGTTATCCATGCCCAACACCTCAGAAGTAATGGTAAATTCTAGATAATAATTCCTTACATTTATTTAGTGCTTTTCTGGACACTCAAAGCGCTTTACACATTGGGGGAATCTCCTCAGCCACCACCAGTGTGCAGCATCCATCTGGATGACAGCCATATTGCACCAGACCACACAGCAGCTGATTGGTGGAGAGGAGACAGAGTGATGAAGCCAATTTTAATATGGTGAGGGTTAGGAGGCCATGATGGACAGAGGCCAGTGGGCAAACTTGGCCAGGATGCCGGGATTAAACCCCTACTCTTTTCAAAGGACATCCTGGGATTTGTCGGGACCTCGGTTTAACGTCATAAATATAGAGTCCACTTCACTATACTGGGATGTTAAGACTCACACAGACCGCAGGTTGAGCGCCCCCTGCTGGCCTCTCTAACACCACTTCCGGCAGCAACCTAGCTTTCCCATGTGGTCTGATCAGGCACAGTCTTGCTTGGCTTCAGTGGGCGACCATGTGAGAGTTGCAGAGAGCTATCTGCCGGTAGATAGGAAACAGCTGTGGATTTGCACATCAATATAGCATAATTTTTGTGACACTATATAACAATAATTAATATTTTTACAGTACTTTGATGGTTGGGTTTAGGGTTAGGGTAGGGGTAGACGTAAAAAAAATTAAATGTATTGGGTAATTTATTAAATAACAAAAATAATACTTAGTACAACTACTGTTTTTATATTGCTTTTACAGTTGGCTTTAGGGTTGGGGTAGATGTTAAGAAAATACAATTCATGAAATTTTATTAATAATATAAAATAATTCTCGTTAACTTCCAACGCAATCTCACGGCAATTCGTAACTTTTTGCTTTAGTGGCTAAAGGGTGATTTATACTTCTGCGTCAAACGCCGGCGTATGCTACTTCGCCGTGGCCGTCGGCGTCGCTGACGTGCAGCTCTCAAAAATTGTAACTACACGTTGCAACGACGTGTAGCGCAAGCTCTGTGATTGGTCGGCTTGGTATCGCTGACGAGTCTGGGCGGGACCAAGAGCTGCGTGAATAGTGCGAGCCCGATGTAGTGATTGTTTACAAGTGTGGAGTCCCGTGAAGGAGCTCCGGATGGAAAGTTTTGTTTTGTGTTTACCTCATAGTTAAAGTTGTTACACGTCCGCCGGTTCCTGCCTCAAGATGAGCGAGTTTGAGCCACTTGTACATCCCGGAAGTGTTCAGGAAAAGCAAAACAGCAGCGAAGAAACTCAACACAGAGGAATATTAACACCTCACTGCCAACTAGCGTTTCGGAAGTGTTAATGCAGACCAACAGGGACAGCGCGCAGAAGTATAAATGCACAACTACGCGCATTGCATGCGCCGTGGGTCACGCCGATCACTTAACGCAGAAGTATAAACCAGGCTTAATTCGTATGAATTTGTATGATCTAATTTGTACAATTTAGTACGATTTGCTCATCACCCAATGACGGTCGGGGTTAGAGGTGGGGTTAGGTGCCACGCCTCCTTTTTAAAATCGTACGAATTAGCCACTAAACTGACAAAACGTAAATTAATTACGTTTCCTCATGAGATCAGGTTGGCATATCCCTTATTTTCACATCCCAATGTTGACAGGTATGCAACATGACTCCACACGCGGTCTGTAATTGAAAAAATTGACCTTGAAAAATGTGACCGATTATAGGCTCTTATGTCGATTTCGATTACATTTCTATAAATATATGGAATATATTCCAATATATTAATATATAGATGTATGCGATATCAGATGCAGCCTTAGAATTTAGCTGAAAACAAACCAGAAGTGCATTTTTTGATTTAAATTTAGATTACAAGGGCAATCTATTTAGTTTTTCCCAGTGACATGCACAGATAAATTGTCCACCACAAAACTAGCAATGTGATCTAATCTAACAAAATCAATATGGCTAGTTTTGATTTCATGTGTACTTTAAAGGCATTCCCCACAACCCTTCCCATCAAGTGTGGTCTTTAGTTTGGGTATCTCTGCTGTATATATTCAAGAATCTCCTTTTTGTTTTTGTATGACGCGCCATCAGCTCCGTTCGCGCGCGCGCCACGTCACCATCACCTCGCGAACTCGCGTGAGTCCTCCCACCGCCCACGCGTGACATCTGAAAGAGAGAGAGAGAGAAAAAACATGAAATAAATAAATAAATGAGCAAGGTGCAGTTCCGCCAGGAGCCCCGAGTGAGTGAGAGTGTGTGTGTACGCGCGCTCGCGTGTGTGTGAATGTGTGTGTGGCGTCTGTCTGAAACATGAACCGCTTGCTTTAGACATCCAGGAGCGCTTTCAAAACGCGGGAAATATCCTCACCATCAGCACCACCACCATCATCGTCATCTTCATCATCCTCCCCGTCCTTCCGCGGGGGGAAAAAAACCTGTTCGAGATTTAATTTTATTTGTGCGAGCTGCCTACGAAAGTGACACACAAACACTCACGTACATATACTACAGAGAGTGTGTGTGTGTGTTGTTTAAATTAGTGTTGATGCTTTTGTTTACTATCTTAATTAACACCCGCGGGAAGCTGGAGCATTCATGTCGTGATCACAGAAAAGCGTCGCGTTTTTCTGATGGATTAACATATGATCTGAACTCAGCCCAGGTCAAGTGAGTATATACTAGATGTATGTCTGTATAGTGTACTACATGTCTGTGTATGCATATGTGTGTGTGTATGTGATGTTTGTTGCATGCATTATTGTTCTGTCATGTGATTAAATAAACTCTCTTTCTCTGTCTAATTCCTCCTTTGTGTTGTTTAATCTGATAGTCCAGGCTGAGCATTACTTTCTCAACATGCAACAAGTATTGGTTTTGCGCTGCTGCGTGCTTCATGCATTGATTCTCACACCAGCATTCATGGTTTTTTTTTTTTTTTTTTTTTTGGAGACCACAGACAGGTGTGTGTGAATGCATAACACACACTACATACATGTACACTCAATATTTCTTTTCATGTGAGCTTATATCCATGCATATACTGATTTATGGGGATCAAAATGTGGATTTTCACCTGTTAGCACTAGTCAGCATGGATAACTAGTCTAGTGCTCTAGTGTCATCTCTCTCCTGCAGGGATGAGTAATCAGGCAGACACGGAGACGGTGAACTCGTCAAGTAAAAAAAAAGCAGGGAAGAAGGCGAAAATGGAAGGCATCAGGTTTTATTTTTATACTACGGCGTAAATAATTGAAGAGCTGTGCATGGATGTTGAACTCGGTGACCAGTGGTCTGTTTGATTTGCAGCAGAAACTGAAAGATCTGACAGGCTTTGTTGATTAAAAAGAAAAAGGGGGCAGTTCACACAAAAAATGGAAATTACCTCATCGTTTGTGATCTTTTGTGTGGTTTTAAACCGTTTTTTTTCTTCTTACAGAGAAAAAAACGAAGATATTTTGGCACCTATTGAGTTCCATATGAGAAAAAATGGCTACTATGGAGGTCAACGGGTGCCAGCTATCAGCATTCTTCAAAATATCTTCTTTGACTGAGTAAATGATGGCAGAATTTTCATTTTGGGGTGAACTGTCCCTTTAAATTCGTATAGTTATGCCAAAATGTATTCCTCAGATGCTCTAAACTAGATTCATTTGTATAGTGTTATTAAAATAACACTTTAATAGTTTTTTGTGGTACTTTAAAAAAGGCATCAGTGAAAATGTCAGGGGGACTAGTTCATGTCTGGAAATATTGTTGTGTAGCAGATGAAATATTTGATGAGATATTTAAAAGACTCTATTTTTGGATCAGTGCAAGACAAAAATACTCTTTTTAAAGTCTTTAAATCTTGCCACAGTCTTTCAGAACATTGGGTTGTACACATTTGTCTGTGAGTTTAGAAATAGGCGTTTGTCAGTAAGTCGGAATGAATGTGATCTGGATCAGTGGTAGGGAAACTATGGCTCTCGAGACACATGTCGCTCTTTGACCAAAAATATGTGGCTCTCCAGCTCTCTTCTTTAATTATTTTACAGTTTAAAAACCATAACCATCACTGAAAATCAGTTTCCTTTCGAAAATACAATTACAATTCCCTTTAAATTGTAATTTTATACAGCACAATGAATAAGAACTCTGTTAACAATAAAAGTACGTTTCAACCAATGTGCGTTGGTTGCAATGAGGATAAATGTGAATTGCGACAGCCATAAAGGGCAAATAACTTTATATTTATATAGTAACTTAAATTCAAACAACATTATTATGAGTGGCGATGGCGAAAATAAAAAAATTATTAATCGTTCTTTCTTCATTCATGGACTTGCTCAACATGTGAGGCTTCATATTTGTTTGTTTTTGAGTTGTGCATGGACATAAATTAAGGTTTTGTGTAAATCTGTATTATTTATCGTAATATTACAAATAATAAGATAGTAGTAGTAGTAAAACTATAATAATTGTTAATAATTTATAGTAATACAGTTGCAAATGCATTTTTAAAAAGACATTTTGAGAAATACAGTTGAAGTCAGAATTATTAGCCCCCCTTTGATTTTTATTTTTATTTTTTAATTATTTCCCAAATGATGTTGAACAGAGCAAGGAAATTTTCACAGTATGTCTGATAATATTTTTTCTTCTGGAGAAAGTCTTATTTGTTTTATTTTGGCTAGAATTGAAGCAGTTTTTCATTTTTAAGCACAATTTTACTTGGCTAATTACCCTAACCTGCCTAGTTAAACTAATTAACCCAGTTAAGCCTTTAATGTCACTTTAAGCTGTATAGAAGTGTCTTAAAAAATATCTAGTAAAATATTATTTACTAATAACTCTGACTTCAACTGTATACATCCAAATGGCTCTTTAAAAAAATGCATTTGCTAAAAAAAAAAGTTCCAAACCCCTGCTCTGAATGATGGCTGAATATTATTTCTGACACAATTTTGACTTTCACTTGAAATATCAAAGCAGGTATTTGTATTTATTTGGTAAAATCACCATTATTTCTACTATATTATATTTTAGTTTTACTTTGTTTAGTAAAACGGAATTGATAGAATGGTCAGAAAAGTTATTTTTTTAATATACAAGTTGCATATATTTATATAAAAATAGAGTTAAAACAGTAATGTCATAACAAAATTGAGCATTATAAAATATATATATTTTTAAATTTGTTCATGTAGAAAATTGATATTTATAAAGATAAATAAATAATATTTTTTTTTATTTATTTGTTCATTAATTTTCCTTCCGTTTAGTTTCTGTTCATCAGGGGTCGCCACAGTGGATGCCCGTCAAGCTGCAACCCAGTAGTGGGAAACACCCATTCACACACATACACTACGGCCAGTTTAGTTTATTCAATTCACCTATAGTGCATATTTTTGGAAGGTGGGGAAACCAAAGCACCCAGAGGAAACCCACACAGGAAGAACATGCAAACTTCACACAGAAACGCCAACTGGGACTTAAACCAGCGACCTTCTTGCTGCGTGGTGACAGTGCTAACCACTGAGCCTCCATGCTGCCCATTTTTATGTATTTATTTTCATCTTAAAGCTGATTTGTAAGCATCATTATTACTCCAGTTTTCCGTGTCATGTAATCCTTCAGAAAATCATTGCAATATGATGATTTTATGAACAGTAATAATATTTGATGATCAGTATTGAATACAGCGCTGTATAAATCATGATCTGTTTGTTTCAGGATTCTCAACACATTTTAAATAGGCATCCTTTATAATCTGTAGACTGTTTTCAATAAAAGTATTAATTTCTCATTTTATTTTTAATTGTACTGACCTCAAAACTTATCAGACACCATTCAGAGCTGTTCTCTTTTCTCCGTCTACTTTCATGTTTTAATTTATTATGGTCTCATTGGCACAAAACTCTTTCTTTCTCATTTCCCCTTTATCTTTTTCCTACTTTCAACGTTTTGAAACTGTCTTGATGTACTGTAGCTCCATTGTTCTCGCTGGTATCAGTGAAATACTCTCTGCTACAGTAATATCAGCTTTATTTAGAGGCTGATTGGTTTGTGGACAGTGTGAAGAGTTATGGTGTAAATCTAAAAAGGCATTGTATTTATTATTATTATACTTGAGGTTTTGTCTTTGTGACTGAAATCTAAACTATTATCAGCAGAATGGCTATCTTTTTAAAAAGTTGGTAGTGGGATTGAGAACAGACCGATTCAGCTCTCCTATTGGTTGTTGGATTAATGCTTGATATAAGAGAAGTTTTGCTATAGGAAACTGTTTGTAATTTTCTGACCACCAGAATTTTATCGGAGGGAAAATTTGACCACAAAAACCATGTTGGTGAACTTGTCAAACCAGTGATCAAACACCATTAATTGTAGCTTAGGATTAAAGGAAGTTTCAGACAATTAAATCACGTCTGAAATCACAATGTGAGCTGGTTAAGTTTTTGTTTTTAGCAGTTAAAGGCACAATATGTCATTAAATTATCCAAAAACCACTAGAACAGTGTTCTAAATCACTAGACCACGTGGAAAAGCTGGGTTGCTGCCGGAAGTCGTGTTATTGAGACCAGGAGAGGGCGCTCAACCTGTGGTCTGTGTGGGTCCTAACCAATGACTGTAAAAAATATGGACGACGCGACAGCCCTTTTTCCCATTGATGTGGAAGCGGCCTGCCATACACAACTGCAGAAATAGAGCCAACACCAGCGTGTCACGTGAATCCTCCGACTGTCTGTCTGTCCGAGAGGATTTAAATGATACCAGTGCACTTGTTTTTGGCTTTTCCTTCTCAAGCATTTCTGTATTAGAAAACAGCCAGTGTCTGCAGGAGATGAGCTCCTTTTATCGGCCTCTCTGTCTGCTCGTTCATGCTATATTTCTTTCTGCATCAGTGGATCTGATGTTTTGACCTTTGAAGGAGGCAGAGAGGAAGACGCGTTTTTTTGATGAATGTCTCGATAGAATGGTTGAAATTGTTTGGCGCACAGATCAGATGAGAGGAGTGTGTGTGTGTGTGTGTCTCTGCAAAGGGGAGGATCTGCAGCATCGCCGCATCACTGCAGTTCTCCTCATGGCCTGATGGGGCAGCACTGCACCAGACAGGCTCATGTGAGCATTTTTGGGAGAAAAGGAGACTTTAATAGAGGCAACATGATGTGTTTTCTTTAGTGTAGCAGAGCTGATTTGGAAAGTTGCTGTTTATCTTAGAGAGAAGGCCCTTATATGTATGCCGGATCTGCCTAATATGCATTAATGCAGACTAGAGCTCCTGAATTATTAGCCTGCCTTCAATTTCTGTTTAACGGAGAGCAGATTTTTTTTTTTTTTGCGCATGTTTTAATAACTCATTTCTAATAACTGATTTATTTTATCTTTGCCATGATCACAGCACATAATATTTTACTAGGTATTTTTCAAGACACTAGTATTCAGCTTAAAGAGACATTTAATGGCTTTACTAGGTTAATTAGGCAAGTCATTGTATAACAATGGTTTGTTTTGTTGATAATGTTGACCGTAAAATGGTTTTCAAATTGAAAACAGCTTTTACTCTAGCCAAAATAAAACAAATGATTATTTACAGAAATGGTACTATATCGTTAGATTATGGAAGTCTATGTGCGATTACTTACATTGTGATATGAGATTTTTGTTATATCACCCAACACATATCC